AGACAGGCACTGCCCATCACTGGTGTGAAGGTGTGTGTTCTGTGCCATGAATGTGCAACATCCTGGATTGGAATCGTTTGGGGAGAGTATGAGGTCTCGGGAGGACATGATAGTGGTCACCAAATTGTTGGACACAATGTCCAGTTCAATCGCTAAGACATGCCACGCTACAACAAAGTCATGTTACTATCTATTTCAGCTAGGGTGTAATAAACTAGGGAGACTTCATGAGACTTCCCAGTCAGTTCCACCTTTTGGAAGGATATTTCAGGCCAAATCTCAATCTGGCAATACACCAAATGGGAGACCCGCCGCCTGTGCCGCCTGTGTCTCGCCCGGTCATCTCCGACGTCAGTGTCTCGCTCGCTCGGGTCAGGATCTTCCGCGACGGTGGAACACGCTGGCTTCACGTGCCCTTCGGAGCGCAGGCGGCCGAAGCGAAGAAGCGCGAAGCGCTAAGTAACAGCTGACTGTCAGCTGATTCGATGGCGGGTCCGGCGGGTCCTTTGGTAGACCATACCCTGGATGTAAGTATCATGTCGTATATAGCGGCTTATGGCGGTTCTATTGTTTCCCTCTTGGCAAGAGCATTGAACAAACTCGGACCTCGTTACTTGGTCGATCTAGAATCAAGGAGAGCCAAGGTTTTTCAACAATGTTTTTGGTTGTGTTGGACATTTGAGATTAGCCACATCCACCAGATGCACCTGTCCCAGACACGACCCGTCTGGGACTGCCATAGGACTGCCGATCAATTGGGTGTTGCCAGGGGGATCAATGTAGGCATATATGTATTGGTTTGTCCTAGTTACGATTTAAGTAACAGCCGTCGGCCCCCTGGCCCAACCTGGACCGGTCTAGGTCGCTTTGAACGCGCACTCAGGGTTCTAGATCATAGAGAACATGCAGACATCACTCAGCTCCTTGAGCTGGCAAATGACGGCCAAGCAAGGGAGACATTCACTGTAGATCTGATCTCAACATGTGAGTTCCCCTCAATTGCAAATCCAACACCAATGCTGTTCAAATGTTCAGCGAAGGTAAGCCAACCACACTTTCAGTGAAGCCACGCCAACCAGCGACAAACTCACCACTTGCTATTTCTGAGATCTCTTTGATTCTCACCACCACATCCGTGCCTGCGATGTGGGGCCACTCACGTTCCATCCGTCCCTGGTCCAGCCACTCATCCTGCGCGCGCCGAGAGGTCTTTAAGGCGCCGGATCAAACGCCGGCCTTCCCCAGCGGCGGCCTCCAAAAGCTGGAGGCCTCAGGTGATAACCTGGCGCTGAGCGGCTGGGGGGGCTGAGGCCTGGGTCCAGGTGAAGGTGGAAATGTTTGGGGTTCATATGGTTTCATGTTTTTGTTTTTTCTACAAGACTTGTTGAAGTGTGTGTGTGTGTGTTTCAGGGCGGTTTAGAAAGGTACCTGGTGGTACTAGTAGCTTCTCAAAAGGTTTGCATATAGATGGTTGAATCCACAAAAACGGATCCATGGATGCCATGGATAGTGACTCGTTGAAAGATGCTGGTAACCTTCATGATTCAGTAACCACGTGTTCTCCTTGTTTTCTTCCACAACAAATTGTTCGTTGCTCGTCACCTGTTGAGGACTGCGTGGTTTTCGCTCGCGCTCCGTTCGCTGCTCAAGCTGCCGTCGGAGTGCAACCAAACAGGACCGAGACACCGAACAGTTGGGCCTTCAAAACCAGCGAGTTCAACGGTCAGGCCGAGGGCGCCTCAGATGTCTTCACCTTCAGATGTCGTCAGTTTCAGCATGTTTCAGTTGTTGCACGCTGAGTTCAACGTCCAAAGAAACCACACCAAGAGAGGTCAAGTGACCTTATAGGACCTTACTGTGGTACCCAACTGGGATAGGCTAGTTCGGGTCCTTCAACCTCTGTTGGCAGGTACACACTACTGAACGCGGTGGGTCGTGGTGTCGGACGATGAATACTCGCTGGCCACCAAACCTTCAGAAAGGTGCTCCATTGCTCAAAGACTTCTCACCGATTTTGGGCCCAGGCCAGCCTACATCAAGCTGGAGGAGGGCGCAGAGACGTTCTTGAGGCGGTCAGCGTGCAGATCGCCGAAGGGAGCCATATCATGTAGTATGTTGATTTACATGTATGGCTGCCGGATGTTGCTGGTCAAGATCTGGATCTTTAACATGATGTCGTGAACGAGTATCGTTGGTAGATGAACCTAGGTATCGGGGTTTTGACCCACAGCCATGTTGGGGTGGTTTCAAGTGTCAATAATGGTATATACATATATATATATACATATGATATATGTCATACCTGGACTGCCTGGGCTTGTGAGCCAATGAGCCGCCCTTCAAGTAGCAATGGAATCCCGAGCACCTGCCGAGCAGAGCAATTGATCGCTGGCTAGCCTTGGACTCGAGATGGAACTCTGTGTGATTTAGCATTCACTAGAAAGGTTTCATGTATTTTTATGTCAAATATTCTGGATCTACACAGATGTTGACTCATTCTTTGAAGCACCTTGAAGCCTCTTCTTTAATCACCCCAAAACTCGTGACCTTCCAGCGGCAAGCGCACCGGATCTTGGACTGGAGGCCAGATATTCGCAGATCCTTCTCACCTACAGACCTTCGCTTGCTTTCGAGGCGTCATAAGGCGGTGGAGACGGGCACCCACATCACCGAGCTCTCTTCCTATGGAGAGCCCTGGGTGGTGGAGCACGAGCAGGTCGGTTCACGGAGCGGGGTGCCATGAACACAAAGTGTCCCCCCAAGCACCACCAAGAGAGGTTAAGTGACGGTAAATGGGACCTTACTGTGATACCCAACTGGGATAGGCTAGTTCGGGTCCTTCAACCTCTGTTGGCAAGCCAGTTTCCATGGAAGGAAGACCAACTGAGTGCAGTCGTGATGTTCGAAGGATGGGCGGGCCCCGGAAACATCGGAGTTAATCATCGGATGAGCTGCGGCATGCTGGTTCATACACCCCCATATAGGAAACTAGCCGGTGCCAGGCCGGCAAAGCCTACGGGTTAGCCGATGTCCTCTTTCTTTTAGAAACAAAGCTATAGGACTAAACCAACACGCGGAAAGAACAGGGCTCACAAGGGGTGGTAAATGGAAACCCCTTCTACAACCGCTGCAGTATAAGGCTTGCTAAAGAGCCATACACAGACACCCCTTCAAAGGGTGCGCTTGTAGAGATGTGTTGTGTTTTGATCCCGCGAATCGCTGGAAGGGACGCGTGGTGATGTTTGAGGTTCTTGCGTCCATTGTCTTTGAATACATGCAAACACTTGGTTTGAGTGTGACATTGCTGGGTTGAGAGGTGTCAACGTTGAAATACTGGCGGACTCGACGGAGGATCGTGTCGACTCCCAGACACGACACGTGGGACTGCCATAGGACTGCCGCCCCATTGACCCCGACTTCAACCACCCCAAGGTTGGCATATATGGCAGTCCCATGGAGTGTTTGGGATTGGGATTGTAGAACCTTTTCACGTCTACCGGGCTCGGTGGTGACCTGGCTCGACCGCAATCGGTCACTTCTTCACCGCCCGCGCGAACGTCTGGCAGGTGGTGGTCCGCCGAGGGCCCTCCACCAAGGATCAGCCCTTAGGCATGATGTTGAAGGCGGGACAGCTGGCCCTAGGGATCATACCGTACCTCATCGTACCTCAGGTTCGTTACGACTGGACCCGACCATCATGGACCCTCCTAAGTACAATCCATGAATGTAGAGGCCGTAGCGTCCGGACCCGAACCAATCCCTAGTTTGAGGTACCAATTGGAGCTTCTGGGATGGAGAACTCTTCCAGCACGACCCCAAAGCCCGCTTCAAGCGCATGTCGAGTCATTGGGCCCCCCTTTCATCGGAGGTTCAGTCACCCAGCTGACGTGGCTTCAGTCACCCAGCTGAGCTGACGAAAGGGAGACACCCAGGTGAAGTAACGAAAGGGAGATTTCGAAAGCAACAGAGTTCAAGAACTGCTAGAGATCGAAACTGTGTGCCACTCAGGAGCGTCAAACATGGGTGTACCATGCCATAAAATGAAAAACATGTCACAACATGAACACGGCAACTTCACCTTCTAAGAAAGATGAAGTTGTCAACATCTTCCTGAACCTCTTGAAGCATCTTCGAGGGAGAAGGTTCTACCACCCTGTTTCACGTCCAACGAGAGTGGTTTTGGTCCTCAGAGAAGGCACTGACCGCCGTGCACTTGTGTTTGGCATTTGGTGGGTTTCCTTGCGACCCCCCTGGCTCAAGCCTTCCGTCAGGTGCGACAAATGAAGCGGTTAAGCAAAACTTGACTCACTTGACGCGGGATTTTCTTCCATGTCCTTGACAAGCTGCACGGAGTTTCTTTCGAGTGAGTGTTTTTTGGAAATTGTTTGAAGCATGGGATCCCCTAAAGCTGCACGTTTTGTTCTTTTTCGCTGCCACTGCAACCCACTCCAGGTGCTAGTAGGCTACGCTCCATCAACTGACCTTGATTTGTTTCATTGGACCCGACACCTCCATAGCAGGGGTTAAATCCGAACCATAACACCCTTGTGTTTGAAAGTCCGGATCCTTAGGGAGCCTTGATTTGTTTGGCTTAATTGTAGATTATGGGTTTCGCATCACGCAATGATGCCCTGAACACAAAACAACTGCTGTAGATTATGGGCCACCAATTTGTCATAAGGCCATAGCTGCTGGTGAATAGCAGCACACTCCCACATTGGTACGTACAAACATCATCAAGCATCAAAGGTTTTGTATTGTGAGGTCAAAGACTGTATATAAAAGTAAGTCTCCTCACCCTGCTTGCACCCTTTATGCCGTCCAGAGTGCTGATGCTGTGATATGCATTGTTTCAGAGACAAAAATGAAGGACGACAGACGCTGAGATGTAATCCTTTAGACCAATTGGGACCAGCACATGTTTAAGCCCACTGCCTTTTTCAATCATTCCAATGCTTTACTCTATTGGGTCCCAATCGCAAAGGCCATGCTGATTTGTGATGGAAGTGTGCCAAGATCTCTTGGGCCTCTCTCGTGGTGCCTGCAACAACTGCGACTGCCCTGGCTTCTTACGGCATGTGCATCGCACTGAGCTCGAGACAGCTGCATGTCCTGCGTATCCAGTGTGTTCGCCCACATTTCGATGTGTTTTGGCGGCAAAGCAAGAGGGGCACCGTTGATGCTGTATTCATGGAGTGTAAGAGATATATGATGTTCCAAGAGAGGTTAAGTGACCGTAAATAGGACCTTACTGGGGTACCCAACTGGAATAGGCTAGTTCGGGTCCTTCAACCTCTGTTGGTATATGATGTTCTCGGCGACAACGCTCGGTGATTCGGTCAGAGCTCCGGGAACAGCCGTCGTTCGAAGAACGGATATGATAGAAGGGATTGATACAATACGTGGTCCAATTCTTTGGAACCCTCTGTATGATACATTATGATAGCGATCGTGTTTTTTTAAAGAGGATTCACTCTAGCGGCACTGCCAGCCTGCTCTCCACTATCCACCACTGTGTCGACCCATGTGTCAGTCCCTTCACCCTTCGCGGTGCAAAGCCGAAGTTCTGTCAAACCCATGCAGCCCCCATAACCCTTCACCCTTCGTGCCCTGATATTTTCGGCAGACATGGTCTGCTCACACCTCAGGTGCTCGCTGCAGCTGCCTTTCCAAGTTCCACGCCGTCGCGTCAACGCTTGGACCAGACACCGCCGTGGACACCTCCGCGCCCGTGGCGTCCACGGGCGGTACGCGTGGCGGGCAGTGGAAGGTGGGCGATCTGGTACAAGTGGAGAGCGCCTGAGACGACGAATGGAGGGCGCGTCGAGTACAGACCGCAGTGTGACTCACTGCGAGTCAGCTAAGTAGTACTGACTTAGTAGAATAGACTTATAGTAGTGGGATTTCGCCACTGGTGTGTGAAGGAAAATGGATGAACATGGTAATTTTTGGGGGCCATGCCACTTTCATGTGAATGGCTCTCTCCGGGTCGCTCGGCCGACTTTGGCAGGGAGGAAGGGAGTCCATGGAGGTCGCTCCACTTGGAGCCTCGGAGCCCCAACAAGCGCAACAAGGGCCGACTTCTGCTGAAAGGGGTGATCTATGGCTCAACTCGTGTTGGTGATATGGAGGGATCCTTGGAGTCTTGTTGGCTTGAGCCTCAATTGGTTCTCTGGTTGGACCTCCAATGGAACATAATGGAACCTCTTGGAAGGCCTTGGAAGTGACGAACACGAGGATGTCATCCAAAGCCATGAACACTTCCCAATACTCTTCTAGCTGGGGAGACTTTTTGAGGATTTCGTAAAACCTCAACGAACAATCGAAATCGACCCAGATGGAGGATTTCGTAGGACCCAGCTGGGAAGATTCGGATCATCGACTCACCAATCCGGAGCTGGGAGCCTCCGGCTCAGGCTCGCAGCGCTGGGCATTGCTTTTGCAGACGCCCTCGGACGAGTGTGTGGTGGAGCTGTTGGGGGAAGAAGGGAGCCAGGCGCACGGACCGGAAGGACCAAGGATCAAGCCCAAGCAGGAAATGAGAATTAACACTATACGGATCAAGAATGTACATATGTAGCCAGTGGATGAATAAAGACATCTATGACATCTTCATGACACCTGCTGATTTGGAGAGGTTTTACAATTCAATTTGTTGAATGGTTGTGACGTCGAACCTTTTGAGACGGTGTAGAGATCGCGTTTGGCCTTCTACGTCCAGGTCAGCTACCCCTCGACGTCACTCACACGGGAGGAGGATGGCCCTTGGTGGCTCGGTTCGGCACGGGGTGGGTTAGATGTTGCAGCTCAGGAAGTGCTTGGTGGAAGTGCGGACTTCCTTTCGGCCCTTGGCTTCCAAGTGGTTTTTCAACGGAAGGACTTCGATCCAACACACTGTGGACAGGTCGGATTTGCTGGCGCCGTTGTTCCAAGCTTCGCAGGTCACCGGTGCGCCCGGTTTTCCTGACCCGGGCCTCCTTAAAGGCCGGCCTGAGACTGTTGCGGCAAATCTACAAGCCCAAAAACGCACACGAAACGTTAAACGTCCCTATATTTACTTTGACATACTTTGACACAAGTGACACAAGACACCAATAAGAGAGTTGTTCTTTGCCTGAAAGAGTGCTGCCAGCGATCTTCACCTTCAATTCAATTGAGGTCTCCTCCAGAGATCATTTCTGACTTTGAGAAAGAGGAGAACTTCAAGGACGATGAGTGTATGTCGCCATACTTGTACATGGAGATTGGCTTTGTATGGAGATATCGGCGCTTAGCCCCAACTTTTGGGGGTGTGGGTCTGTCTTAGCCCCAACTTTTGGGAGTGTGGGTCTGTGTAGGTTTGTATCAGATGTGGAGGGTAGTGGGCATGATCGAGGGGCATGAATCCACCAGACAGGACCCTATGGACAGATGGATTTGCTCCTCCAACAATCATGGAAGTGGAAAATGGCCTCTCAGTATTCGTTAGTAGAGGACAAAAATTGGAAAACAGACTTCCAAGGGGCCATGTTCCACTTCCATATTTGTTGGATGGAGGGTAGGCCATGCACAACCAATAGAGGCATATGTGCATATAGGTATATGATGACCAAAAGTACCAGCCAAATTGACCCTATTGAAACAGTAACTGGTCCTGTACATCGGTGTGTTCGGACAATATCTCCACCGCTCCCATCGGTGGATCCGATCGATGACTCGACGCTCGACGCAGGACCTGGTCTTCCAGCCTGAGGCTTTGCGCCCCTTGATCCCGGCGCTGAAGCGCCGCCGCTGCAAGCGTCCTGGACGGGCAAGTGGACGGACATGCGGCGTGGACGGGCAAGTGATAACGACTGGTCGACGGGCCGATGGAATTCCACAGGATCGATCGATGGATCCAAACCCAGACCATCCATGGGACTGGAATAGATTTTCTATATTGACCCCCTTTCAGTTGTGTCCAGTGGGCTCAAGTTCCCCACCCAGACTTGCCACCAAACGTGTCAGATGGTCCGATTGCATGCGTTTGTTGCAACTGGGTTGCTTCTGTACCGCTGAAGCCACTTCGTGTTGATCCAATCATCTACTGTATCATTTGCTCACTTGGGATGCTTGGCTATAGATTTGACACTTCAACCAAGTGGTGGTTCAGTCATCCCTGGTTGGTGTGTCCTGATCTTCGCATGTCCACCAAACACATGAATCCGAAATCCACCCAAAGCAAAGCATCTCCAGACCCATCCCAGCCCAGTTCGCTTGGCCGCTTCCCGCTTCCCTCCCTCCGCACGGCCGGCTGGCCGCGGCTCAGGATCTCGGTGCTTGGTGGGTCCATCTCCTTGCAGCTGGGCGATCGCCGGTGGAACTCACCTGGAAAGACTCCCAAAACAAGGCAGCTACTCTCTGACGAACACATCACATGGAAGTGGATGGCATGACCCCGACAGGAAGACGACGTCTTCCTTTTACAAAACAGGAGGTTGTCCACTTCCTTCAGTGACGTGTTCGGAGTGTACTTCTACCTGATGTTACCAACAAGTAGATAGATGCCTTGTTTGGTTCTTCATGTATACCATGCTCAGCAGTGCCCCGAAGCCCCCGGAAGTTCCGGCAGCCTACGTCTACCCGTCGGGTCCTGCGGAGCCGAAGGAGCCGTCGATCGAACGGCGAGCCGGGCCATGCGGTGGGTTCCCCAGCGGTCGATTTTACGACTCTTACACCGGCAAACGGTTCTTGACCCATTCGTGGGGGGGGGGGGGCACCATCCAGACCATCCGAACTGGAAGAGTTTTCTTTCCAGATTGACATGGAATGAACCCCCAACCCACTTAGTTGTAGAGGAAATGGCCGAAACCACGGGTCAATTCTCAGGTTCCATGTTAATTACTGTTAGTTTGCAGGCGGTCACTACATCTACACCAGGTATCACCAGGTATGACCTCAATGTAGGAAACTATTGCATAGATTGGTGGTTTGGGATCCATTAGCATTCTTTTTGGGCTATCGCGATGGACCAGATCGAGGATCAGCTCGTGCAAAAATTTAAACAAAAAGAAACAGAAAACAACAACACATAATATATACCTACAGCCTCCGGAGCTTGCAAAATTTTAGTTGTTTCAAAAATTATTGTCTTTTGAGATCGGCGGCGACATTTATTGTCTTCGAGCGATGTTCATGTTTTCGTGTTTTGTAAGCTTTCGAAAGGTCTTCTAATCCACAAGGTCCCAGTCCTCTCGTGTATTCACCCTAGTGCTGCCTCTGGTTCTGAGCGCCTCCAAGACTTATCATTGGTCGTCATGCCTATCCACTTCCATCTACTACTGATACAATCTATCCCATCAACACCATTATCCTTGAACAACCCAATCCTGGCAGTGACCTGGTGTTTCTTTTTCACAGCGGGCGCTCGTTACTCCGATGATGAGCGCATCATGCGCGATCTTGTCAACCTCGGTGCAACAGGCATGTTTATGCAGCAAGAGACGGATCAATGTGTTGTGAGTCTACCTTGGAGCTTCTGATGGGAATCTCATAGCCATTTGGGTTTCAGGCGCATTCCGCATTCCCTTTGTTTTCCCCCAGTTGTCGATCATGATCCCTGCGATTGTGGGGGAATCTTTGGCAAGCACATGGGAGGCAGAACCACATATCCGGCAGCGCCTTCGAGAGACAGGAACCGTGTGCCAGTGGAAAAATGCCCAGTTGATTGGTTTGGCCAGTGTGGAGGCTATGACCTTCAACTTGGCTTCCCTGGAAATTCTGGCTTCTTGGTGGACGAGGAAGGTTGACACCCCCCAGGCAGTGCCCATCAACTTAGTCCGGGATGAGGCGGGGGTGAAGAAACAAACAACTTGGTCCAACTTAACTTGGTGGGGGGATGTGGGGAGTCTCTTTCCTTTGACCTGCAACTCGAAGTTACTATAAGTTCAATCCCTTTGATGGGAGGTGACAAAACTTTACAAGTTGACGGTCGTGGAGATGTCAGCTGCCAACATCGCAGTGGATTCTTGGGGTCTGAAAAGATTGTTCTCCCATGGCTTGCGACGGTGGCTCAGTGGAGCTGCCAAGCCACGGGATGCATGGCACAAGTTACATGATTTGTTGTTTTAGAGTGTAATGTCTTTTTCGAATTCGGTCGATGGAATAAAACAAGAACAAGCACCTTTGTTGTAGGATCAACAATCCCTTTGGAGCAAGCTAAGGATGAGAGACTTGCCAACTTCTGGTTTATCCTTGACTTCCATTGGGGTGCTGCACCAGCGCCGCAACCTCAAGGGGCACTGCACGCCATCGTTGACCCAGAAGACCCAGACTCCCAAGAACCACTTGATGCGAAGGCAACAGCTACAGCTATCAGTGACACACCAGTGGATGTCACTGACTCCCAGCCACCTGTTACCACCGAGTCCCAACCAACACCCGTTGAGGGGGAGAAGACTGGTGAGTGCATTGATGATGGTTATGATTGTGCACTGACGGCTTCGCTCGGATCGATTTGGGCCCGCTCTGATGAAGAGGTTGAGGATGTTAAGTGGGGCCTGGACGTGGCCCAGTCCCTGGACACTGCCCAGGCAAGTTCATTTGGAGCCCCGGCACCATCCACGGCTGCAGCCCCAGCCATGGAGCCGATGCCTGGCTTGGAGGAGGTCACTAAGCCGGTGGTGCAAGATGCGCTGTCCAAAGTGCGGGCTATCCGGTGGGGAGTTCCAACAACTGTTCCAACAATGGTTTGTTTGCTGTGAAGTACCATCCTGTTGGTCCAAAATGAAAAGAGGTTCCTGTTGTTTTCTGTTTAAACCAAGCTCGACAGGGGGATGATTGGGCAACAGCAAATGCAAAGGGCGAAGTCAAGCTCTTTGGATGAATGTCCTAAAGCTTTGTCATTTTGTTTGTGTGTGATGTATCACTGAGAGGTGTTCATCAATCTAGTTTTAATTCTGTTTGTGAGGTGTTTGCCTGGATAACATGGACACTCTGCCGATGCACGGGTGCCAGCAAGAACTTGGCATGACTCTTGCAGCTGCACATGGAGATGTCATTGACCTTTCATCGCCACCTCGCCTCTGCCCTACTAAGAAGATGGCGGGACTGGTTGAGGAGTCGGAGCAGCCTCCGCCTTCAGTGCCAGTCAGCAAAGCAATGCCGGAGCAGCCTGTACCTTCAGAGCCTGTGGGCAATGTGCAGGAGGAGCCTGTACCTTCAGAGCCTGTGGGCAATGTGCAGGAGCAGCCTGTA